CAAAGTTGCCAAAGCTGAGAAACACTGGTCTATATAATACACATCTTAGAACCTAAATGGTCCCTCTTTTTCCTCCCTCTCTACCAGCCAACCCCAACAGAACTTTTTATCACGAACCAAGCTGCTCATTTGTTTTAGCCTGAGAGATCTGTCTTTAAAAGGGGGAAAGGAAAAATGGTTGAAACCCAACTCTTCACTGGGATCAATAGCTCAGAGCAAAATGGGATCCACGCAGCACAGATCTTGCACCTTCTGGTGCTCTGACTTTCACAAAATCATAACTTATTCTTGGGAGGCCACCCTTCTTCTACCTCCATTCATGTCCTGTAATTCATGGATTCCTTCCACAGCCTCCAGAGGCCAATAATGCGATGCTTGGGTGAGAACATCGAAACCTGTCAAGAAAGTACAACACCACCAAGGTCACCCCTTTGTGGGAACTCGAACAATTGTACATTGTTTCTGTGTATACCTTCCCCTCCCCTCTGCTTCGATCCATGTTTGTTTCCCTTGAGTTAAATTTTAAATTCAAAAATGTTCAGGACGTGGACCTGAAGATGGGAGGAAGCGTTCTCTCTTCCTCTGTTTTTAATTCTACTAAGACCAGTTGGTGTACACTACCTTTTGAGAAGATTCCAGGCAGCAACTACCCCACGCAACGAATTATTGAACATCTTTGGCTTTTCAAAGAAGCATCTTTATAGGTTTTTTATGATTAAGGTTGGAGACTGAATCATTCTATAAAAAGATCTTCTGCAGATTGAGCTTTTCTAGGTCAAGAAGGTCTTTCTGAACTCTGTAATAGACATATATCCTTGGCCTTGTCTCCTGGTTTGTTCTAGAGTTCCATCTCATGACTTGATCCTACCTATTATGATATGAATAACTTATCTAGGCTAGATGCTGGTCTGGCTCACCCTAAATGAGGCTTCCCTGAGCTGTGTGTTGCAGGCAAACTCTCAGAATTTCCAGCCAACATGGAAGTTGGTCCAACACATCTGAAGGCAACCAGGCTGGGGAAAGATGCATGTATGAATATGGCAAGGACTGAAGATGGGGACTTTGGCACATAAAGCAAAACTAATGAACTTCAGATCTTCCCTGTGTACCCCTGTAACTACCACCAAGTTACAATTCCCCCACTCAGCATTGAGAGAATGCAACCCTGAGAAGCAGAGATTGTACAAGCAGTAGATGATGAAGCTAAGGGTGACTTTAATATTTCTTTGTGCAGTATAAACACTCAAGCAATACAAGTGTTAAACCCACAAGTGTGGTAGAGATTTTTGGCTTGTAATGAGAAGCAGAACATATTAAGTCTTTGCCCTCAGATGTTCAGTGTGAAATCCTGCCAGGGTAGTATGGCAGAATATACTGCTACAGGAAGCAAGGAGGAGGGGTGTAGTTCCCATCATCCCCACCCATTGACCATGCTGGCTGGGGCTAATAGGGGTTGGAGTCCAGCAACATCAGGATAGCTACGGCTTCCCCAACTTTGCTTAAAAATGGGGGCTTAGTGCAATGAATATTTTTAGCCTCAGAAACTTGCTCCTGAAACAATCGAGACAGGTCATATATTCCCCTTAAACTTTGGTTTTACTGCTGAAGGGAGTGCAGAGAGAGATAGAAAGCTTGTCAAAAAATATGGTTGGGGATTAAAAAAAAACAAGTCCTTGTAAACAAGTTGCGAGGTTATAATACTTCTAGCCCCAATGATCCTGCAATGAATGTGCGCTGTCCGAGCCTTCCAAAAATCTTGTAAAAATGCAAATCCCCCGTTAATATAAACCACAAGCTTTTTCCTCTGGTGGACTGAACCCTTCCCTGTGATTCCTGAAGGCTGGTGCCTACGAGGTAGAAAGGGAAGCGGTGAGGCTGAGATCCCTTTTCAACTAAGATAGGCAGGTGAAGGAACCATTAGCTTCTTTGCTTTAGAATTAAAAAGAAAGCAAGCCATATATTTAGGAAGGGAATCCAACCTACTTCCAACTTCTTGTAAGCCCTTATCATGAAAAAAATTCCCACTCTTGGTTTGGGAATTCAGGACAGAGGGAAAAACTCAGAGAGGTTCATGAGAACTTCCATTATTACTGGTCTCTACCATTGTCTGATGTCCAAAGTTAGAAGGTCATTTTGCCTAATGGGAGGGCTGGCCCTATAGCAAATCCGTTTTATAAATCTGCATTCCCTTTCCTCTAAAATCAAACTGAGATAGCAAGGAAAAGAAAAGCCAACGTCAAAAAGTCAAAGAAAACGTTTTTAAGCTCCGTTTGAAAGGACAAGACTGAAAGGATCCAGAATGCAAAATGGAAAAATAATTCCCTAAGGCTGTTTGCCAAAGATTGTCCAATCACACACAAAAGATGGATCTCATGAGGGAACAGAAAAAGCAGATACACCTCAGCCACACCTGGGAAGCCACAGGTTCTCTATTCCTGCTTTAAAATGAATTCCAGGGTCTGTCGGCTAGCCTGAGCAGTTCCTTCATTTTGGACGTGACCATCTCAAGCAGATGAGTCGGCCGACGTTCAATTTCCGCAACGTTGCCAAACGTACGCTGCGGTTGAGCAGAGATTTGAACTCAGAGCTCCCAGCAGACTAGCACTGCCACTATTACGGTATACCCACCCCTCTTTTGAGAATTGTCTTTATAACCCCCCCAATCCCCCCTACTTTGTTTCTCATAAGGAGAAACCTTCTGACTTGGTGAGAACAACGTGGGTTGACCTTCCGAGCCACCACAACATTCAAAATGCTATTTCGCATTGCATTGGATGTCCCTGAACACTATACCTAAACATGCTTTTGGGGGGGGGGGG